ACTATAAAACAAGATCGATGGGTGTTGTAAAGGTAAAGACCTAAACAGCAGTCTTTGGAGTCAGCCAAATTGGAATTCTAACATTAATCTTACGCTAGCTCCGTTACTAATCCTCCTCCCAAGCAAGTAAACGTTCTTATCGATTCTTCAAATTTACTAAGACTGTTTTGCTTTTGTGTCGATTCAGCTATAGGAAAAATCTAGAGCTTACTTGTTTGAAGATAACTGTTTCCTCTGATTACTTTTATCTGAACCGAATGTTTGCGAATATCATCACAAATTATGGAGGTTGAAAATCTCCTAGCTAGGGTTGTAAAATAATTTTAAAGAACTATTGATTGCTTGATGACATAAGCTTTAGTGAGTTTCCAAGTAACGTGGGTCCGAAGTTTTTGATTCTTTGGGTTGATTTTCCTATGTCAAAGATTCAAACACTTTTGGTCAATCTTTTTGTTGTTTGAAGATGAACACTGATCTCGTGGATGATGATTCGAAGTTCGCTTCACCGTCAAACACTAGCCGGACCCTAGTTTTGGTCGGCTTGACTGGAAACGGAAAGAGTGCCCTAGGGAACAGTATTCTTGGAAAAAACGCATTTAGGTCCGGAGCAAGTCCTCTAAGAGTCACCAGCACATGCCAGTCACAAAGAGTTGTGCAAGATGATGGTCATATCATCAATGTGATTGATACTCCTGGTGAGTGCTTCCGAATTGTACTCTTTGAAGCATGAACTGATTCCTTTTAATTACTTCGTCCAAGTGCAGATATGTTACGCTACTATGTAGTTATATGCAGGTCCTTGATGAAGTTTTTGTGTGTTGCTTAATTTAGCCAGATAAAGTTTAGCAAAGTCAGATTGACTACACAATTTAGTTAGATGTATGATGTCAATTTGGTGAATTTTATAGGTCTGTTTGATTCGTCAACATCATCATCGGATTCTATAGATAAAGAAATCGCGAGGTGCATAACTGTAGCCGAAGATGGAATCCATGCAGTCTTGTTGGTGTTCTCTGTGAGGTCTCGTCTTACAGATGATGACAAGCTTGTGTTTTCTCACTTGCAAACCCTTTTTGGCAGTAAAATCGCTAAGCGAATGGTCATTGTTTTTACGTGTGGCGATGAGTTGGAAGAGGACGTAGAGACTTTGGAGGATTATTTGACTGAGGGGTGTCCAGAATTCCTCAAGGTTAGTGTTTTGTTTTACAGTACTTGTTTTGAAAACTTGAGACATAATGAGTCTTATC